AGGGGGAACAGTTCACTATGACTATTCTACTTCTGCAACACCAGAGCTTAACTATATAGATCATGAAAAGCTAGGAGATTGTTTTATGTTGTTGTTTTCGTTAGTTGAACATCTATACATAATACTGTATTATTGTTATGTGTACTGATGAAAAATTCATCCAGTAACGTGTTGGGAGGGACGACCAAGTCCATTAACTAACGTTAATTATTTCTTTTTCTTATGTATTTTGTTCACGTTAGGATTAATTATTGGTGGTTTTACTAAGTCCTATAGTGTGAAACAACTTGCATTCGCTCAGAAACTTTCTGAAACAAAATGTCATTCTCGCAAGTTGTTTGCTTACGCTATCAGCGAAAACTCATAGTACTCGAGATTTGAGTAGGATTTTTTTCTATTAAATCTCAGGACTATGAATTTCGTCAGATGGCGTAGGCAAAGCACCTAGGTCATAGTTTGACGCGAAATCTTGCACTCGTAGTCACTGCTAAAGTTCTCCATTGTTACTACTTCGTACGAGGTTGAATCCTACCATAAAAATGTGCTTGAACTCAGGATTTGTCGTATTTCTTTGACTGTCGGATGTGTTTTGAAGGGTCTTGTTGTTGAGCTCACATCGACCTTTACCGATTCCAGAGGTTTTGTAATTAACCGACAGACATGTTCCATGCGCGACGCAATTCACAATGCATTGGAACTCGGTTGTAACATTAGTGTTTATTGCGATGACATTGTTTGCCAAATATCTTCCATTTACAACGCGAAAAAAAGCTTGTTTCTCAGCTATGCATTCGCCGGACTCGATTATTTTTAAAAGAAAAATAAACGCACAAACCTTTACGAAAACAGCCATAATGACACTGAACATGACCGTCGCTGACGCTTCTTTTAAAGCGCCGACTTATTATTTATGCAACATTTTTGGTCACGTACAATTCCCTAAGACAACGTTTATATCATACTGGATTTACATGGTCACGACATAAGTTTAATTAAGTTTTTTACAGTATCTCTGTCCCCAGAGCTTTTTCATTTGACAAATCACATTGAAGCAATCATGCTATCGTATTTTTGGTGGTAAAACTTGCTTTGACATAGCTAATTTAGATGTTTATGAATATTAACAGAGTTCCAAAAATAGTTCAACCTTCCTCCGGTAGGTTTCAAGTTTTGAAAACCTTCCTCAAAATGACGTTATGTCACTGAGTCAAGTGACAACCAGCATAAAGAAATATTCGGTATTTTGTTACACGCATGTGATCAATTAGAGCGTTCAGCTTTGAACCTTCCTCACAAACCTCATTCAAAGCAAACCTTCCTCCGGGTGGTACCCGCGTACCCGCAGCTTTTTTGCAACTCTGAATATTAATAATAGTTTTGTGACTATGCGAATCCCATATAAGGGCCTAATTCCACAGGCGGTTTTTCTCGGCGAAATGCGAAATATTTCGCCTGTTTCTTTTGAATTTCGACCACTTGAATAAATTAATTCTGCTTCATTGCTCACAATTCAAAAAAAGCAGGTGAAATATTTCGCATTTCACTTGAAAATTTAGCCCGTGGAATTAGGGCTTAACGCAAACAGGTTCTAGAACAGCCATGAGTCATGCTGAGGTAGAAGAAATACCCCTCATTAATAATTTCATGTGACAAATGTCTCATGCATTTTTGCCATGAGTATTTAAATTTTCAGACCAACGGTTTATACGGTTACCATTACTTTACTTCCGTGCTATCTTAAATTTAAACAGTTGGTATGTCGAAAAATCTAAATGTAGCTAATTTCTTTCAAATGTTTCGGAGCGTTTTCATTCCAATTAGTTATCCTGCATCAATATTATTTAAATTCATACTTGTTTTCGATCAATGTGCCGACACGTATTGTACGTGCTACGCGCCATTATTCATTTCTCTCCAAGTCTTAGTTCTTCCCGACTGTAACAAAGTATCGATTTTCGACCTAGTAAGCGCTAAACTACTCGCAAAACACAAACAAACAACATATTTTTGAAAGAAGACACAAAACCCTTGTGCTCTATCTTTTACACATGTCCATATATGGTTTTAATAATAACACTGAACTATTTATTGTCTGGAGTGCTCCTTATTTCAAATGTTTATCACACCGAATGCCTAAAAATCAAAGACTTTGCATGTTATTTATGATTGTAAAATTCATAACACCTTGATGGTATTGTTTGCCCCAATAAAGATCTGATAATTTGAATACCAATTGTAATAAAAAAATAGTATTCATTTATTTCATCCTATTCATTTTACATTCAAATATTCGCGCTGATTTGTATGGGCAGTTACAAAGGCTCGCCTTCGTGTTGTACAAAACACAGCAGATTGTTGACGCCTGTTTTATAAGGTGCTGGTTAATAATTATTGTGATCTTTTTGATTGACGATCTAATAAATATTATTACGGTGAGCAGCGTGCCAGCGTATTAATTTCCACAACAAATGTGGCAAACAACAACCTAAAATATAGACTCCACCTTGACATAGAGCCTTCGTCAGAACAGCAATGCAGCAAGGTTGGAAAAACTGGAGTGTTCTTCAGTACTATTTTAGAATATGTTTTTATTTTCTTAAAGTAAGCCTAATCTTTAAAGGGGATGAACTGTGTCAAACTTTTTAAACTTCCTTTTAGAACAATATTTTACGTCGTTTCGCGACGTGCATTCATGCATGCATGCCAATATTTAACAGTTATTCTGCGAACTCGAGTCGTATATGAGCTGATAGTGCGCTATTATCAACTAAAGCTTGGATTTCTATATACCCAACTCCCCAAATCTTTCGGCCATTTTGTTCACTTTCTCTACTAGACAGATATGAGCTAATATCTGTCTAGTAGCCAACCAATGAAATTGCAGCATACCTCATATCTGGCGCTTGTGTACATAATAAAGCTTTGTAGATGTTCATACTGAATCCTACCACCTGTTATGTATAACATCACCGAATGTCCCAGGGTTGACGACTAATGAAAAGTATCCGGCGTGGAGAATATTAGTGGTGATTATACCTGGGTTTTAACTGGGTTAACTAATAGAATATGAAACAAACGAAACTTTATCACCAATGCTCTTCAAAATCATGCACTAAATTTAAAAATACAGTAGACACTTCTCATAATGACTTCAAACGCAGAAAGCCCGATATTCATTAATCACGTTTGATTAACTTCGCAAAACACACCAGCCAATCAAACCTCGCATGTGTAGCACGTTGTCTGACGTCATCATGAGTAGGGTATATTGGGTGCCTATTTTTTAAACACATATACGCCGTTGCTTAGTGTACGAGTGACATATATTCGGAAAGAGAATTTATACAGTTTAGGTCGCTGATGCTTTTTCTGAAGTGCTAATTCATTGCTAATGTGCATTTGTCGTATAATTATATTTATTGTTACGAATTTTCGCCACCTGCATTTTAGGATATTTCGCATGATCAGGTTTTTTCATGTTTATATTTAGCAACAGTGCCGTAACCATAATTGTCGAGCGGGGGGGCGGTATTTATATATTGAAGGATTTTTTTTGTAAGTGCAATAGATTACAAGAAAAATCCGTCGGGCAGAACTGACTAATGATATGAGTATTCGCCCCGTCCCTCCAAATACCGTTCCAGCACTCGAATTTTTTTTTTTAAAATCCATGTTATGGACATAGTATATATGGTAGTTCGAAATAGTAATGAAGTTTATAAAATTGCCATTTTCATACTAATGGATATGGGGAAGGTATACAGTATCCATATTATTAATTGCCATTCCATAGTATGCATTTTAAAAAAATTCTTACGTCTCTCTTGGCAACAAGGGCACATTGGTTTACTCGGAGTTCATTACTACATATTTTGCAATAAATGGCATTTATTGCTAGGTAATTGTCTATCTAAGTTACCAAATTGGTAACTATGATTACCTTATAAATTGGTATAATATGCAAGTGGTCCATTACACGAAAGTTAAAATAATTTATCGAGTGAATGGATTGTATTAAACATTTTTTTTGAACTTTCTTTTGGAGTAAATTTTACACACTCTCGTTTAGTACAAATTAAACTAATACTTTAGTTTAATTACTTACTGTAGGCGTATACATATGCATACATACACACGCACATACCAATAATTAAAGCTTTGTGAATGTGTGTGTATGCATGAATCGTACCACCTGTTACTTTTAACATCGCTAAGTGTTTCTGGGCTGAAGAGACAATATTAATTGTACTTCTCATTCTTTGTTAATGAGCTTGTGCATGTAAAACCCGATGACGCACTCACAGAGTGCTTTAATTCTTAAATATACATAATACATATTACGACATATTGCTCGAAGCAAAATGATGCCGCGATAGGTCACCTGTTAGAAAATATGACTCAATGTTTTTGCCGCTTCGGCGATTGCCAGAATAATTGTATAATAGCCATTTGTGATGTTAGCTAGCACACGCTACGCGTTTTCATGTGCAACAGAGTCACCATTTTAAACATTTCGAAACTGTCTATAATTACGTCAAAACACAAAAAATTGGAAAGGCTGCACCCCAAGTTTGAAACCATTTCAGTTGCTCTATCAGAAGAGCTCACGTTAAAATTAAAACAACTCGAATTTTCCTCACGTAATTTGAGCGACGTATTTTTGACTATGCTCGAATTTTCTACCATATCAAGCATTCGAGAACCTTCATGGCGTGCGTTCACGATTGAACTGAACTTTTATTTTAGTAGTTTGAATATATTCAAAGCACTATCCCCACATGTATTTTGTTTCTTTTTTGCGATGCAAGAGTGTTTAAAATTACAATTAATTCTTTATTGCGATGCAATTAAGAGTGTTCAAAAATTTTCCCAGTGCTTCGTTCTGTACGGTGAAAATTTGCAGAAGAAAAGTCAGTGCAAGAAAAAATTCATATGTTGAATATTTTAGGCTATGGCAAAAGTCACATAAAATAGCTACATCAGGCGCTTTGTTTCGTTCTTTAACCCCAGCATCGTAATTTTCCGAGTGTAAAATTTCCATACTCAGCACTAGTATCACCAGTATCACCAAATCTCAGTTCAGTAACAGGTAGTGTGTTCTTGTCTGTCAGGTATCCACTGTCTTCACGCCATGTATAGTCATTCATGTCACAATTACATTTCCTTCCACCTGCACAGCTGTTGGTCATTCCACATGAACAGTTTCCACTGTCGACTGCCGCTCCACCCCAGTAATTCATATTTGTTCCTTGACGTGATACCCACCAAGCAAATAGTTGACCCTTAGCATTATAGAAAACACTACTGTAACATTCATACTTTATAAACTGCTCGCAATTCTTGGACTGGTTCATAATGGAAACGATCAGGTCAATGGAAATTTCATATTTAATCATTCGTCGGTAGGAACCCGGACTTTCATATCCGGTCACAAATGTTCGTGATTCACTGTCATGTCCAATCTCTGTCACACCAACACCATTCTTCGAAGTCATGTTACAAAATACAGGCACCGTGTAGTTAATTCCTGGTGGCTTTATGAAATGCTTTCCACTTTCAGCTGAACGATTTTCTGATCGTAGAATTGTGCAAGTTTCAATTGCAATTCGGGCTGATTTGTCGGTACGATTAAAAATACCTGAAGAAATAGCGGTCATAGTTACTAGTGTATAGACACACAAAAAGATTTTAGTGAACAACAGTATGTAGCAACGGCGAGTTCGTCCACTGTTGTACAATTAATGCATGCTCAAAACCCCAAATCTCGAGTTGAATGAAGTTTAAATGTAGTTAAATGAAGTATAAGAAGTTAAAGTTAAGTACACGCCTAAAAACTTTGCCTGCGGTTTATCAGCATGCAGCAATGTTGTTCCGCCATTATTGTTCACACTTTTCAACAACATTGAACAATATTGTTGAAAATGAATCGGGTGTGACTATATTGTTCAATGTTGATGACAACTCTGAACAATGTGGGCAGCACAACATTGTTCCATCCTGTTCATATCAATATTGCATCAACCTGATCGTTTTTCGGCGTGTATATCAGGTCAAAAATTTCAATTGCTCCGATGATTTCTCGAATATCGAGATGAAAAAAAAGTCATCGTAATTAGAAATGGCAATTTGTCGCGCAAAATATATTGCAATTTCCACGTTTTACTTTTGAATTAGTAATATTGGGTGATTTTCAATGCATTTTGGGGCACACTTAGGGCGGGAACAATTCGCTATTACTATTCGACCAATGTAACTTAGAAGATTAGTTATACATAGATAATAAAAGCTAGAAGATTGTTTTATGTTGTCGATTTAATAACGAGTTAAAGAGGGAGGATGGCATGGGCTTTAGCGCATAATTTTGTATCAATCATTAAAATTTAATTTTTTATGAAAAGCAATTTTTGGAGTTAGCAACCATTCAATCACTCTGACAAAGACACACAAAATAATTCTAAAATTCGGCGGCGAGAGTCTAGATATTATAATTAAACAACAGTCAAGAGCAATACAAAAATAACGAATATAGACAAAACTATTTGAAAAGCCATAGATATAACAAATGAGTCTTTCTGAACTAAACAGTATGTTTCGTCAATGTTTAAAATTTCGATCGACATTCTGCAAAATTAGAAAAATTCCTACATCTATAGGGTTGTTCATAATTTTGAATTCTCCTTCTGCGGCTTAAAGCATTTGGACAGACGCATTTTGGATAACTTTTAGAAGGCTAGGTGTCATCTTAGCTAGGCTGTTTTAGACGTTCAAATTATGTGTTAGCTCTTGGAGGGAAGACGTTATATATGCGTAAATCTAATGTTATTATACCTGCGGAGATGTTTTGTGATGTCTTTGAAGGGCTTGTTGGTTCCAAATTCTAAAAATAGTTTTGAGAGTGATTGTTACGGACGAAAAATGTGGACTGATTTTGATAGTAGCGTGAAGTTGTTAATACTGGCTTATGAAGTTGTGAATAATATTAGTTACAAAACATTTCTTGCAAAGATTAAGGCCGAGTTTACTTAACAACGACCCCCCAAAAACTATATTTTTAAGAAATTATTTTGTTTCTTTTACCTTTTTGATTATATAAAGATGATTGAAGTCAGGGTCACTCGTAAATTCATAATGGTCAGATGTGTCTTGAAGAGTCTTGCTGTTGAGTTCGCATCGACCTTTATCTATTCCAGATGTTTTGTAGTTAACCGACACACATGTTTCATGCCCAACGCAATGCATACTGCATTCTAGCTCTGTTTCAACATGTTTTGTTTCGATGACATGATTCGCTAAATATTTACCATCATTTTTGCGAAAGAAAGCTTGAGCGACTAGACATTCGCCAGACTGGAGTATTCTTGAGATGAAAATAAACGCACTTACGCCTAGTACGATAGCCATTTCGAGAATGAACATATTGATTATCGGTTTATCTCTCAAACTCGTCGTTCAGCAATTATGTGATATATTATTTACGATTTTCGATGCACTTTAATGCAAAATTTAAAACTATGAATAAAGTTTTTTGAGAATTAAGAGATTGGCAAACTTTTCGTTGTTTCGAGCAAAAATATATATTTTACTTTGAAATACAAAAGTTTTGTTTTAAATGTTTCTTCTTCTTACTACTTCCATGTTATGAGGTGTCTTGTTGATGCAAGTGTGTTGTGAACCATCTGTCCATTTATCGGATAAAAGTGGTTGTGGAAATAAGAAAAAAATTTGCCCCGTATAAGTTAAGAAAGATGGTTTAGATTTGGAAAATTAAAGAAATTTTGTGTTTTAAGTCTTTTAAGATAATAATATAAGACATTCACTGTGAATAAGAAGACTGTTTACGAGACGATTGCAGTTATTGGGTTTGATGTATTTTTCTAGACTTTTGTCAAAAAAGTATGCTCATTAATTATTAAAAAGGGTGTTGGCAATATACATTTTTTCATGCACGGTTTAAAATATCACGAGTTGGGCAGGCATTTTACCTGTGCTTTTTTTATATATTCAGAAGCGATATTAAATATTGTGTATCTGTGGTTATTGCTTGCATGAACTTAACCGTAAATATTTCCAAATCGCACTGCATCATGCAGTGGCAGGTTATGTAAACGCAGTCCGAATGTATGTCAGCGTCTTATTAAAGTAATGGGCGATACTAATATTTAACAAACTTAACTAAACCACAACTAACAAGTCTTCCGATTTTTCGAGAAACAGGCGAAAATTTGACCTAGGCGAGGACAGAAATCATATACCTTTATGTTTCGCAAAAAAATCTCATGCACGATGATGCTCGACAACTATTTTCAAATCTTTAGAAATTTAAACAAGGAAAACGTATAGCAGGGTGTAAACAAAATATAATTATATAAAACTGTTTTCTTGCAATCACTATAGCGGGCTTCAGCGCGTTTATCTCTGGCTCTGCACAAAATTTCGGCTCAGAGCGTTCCAAAGTATTATGACTCATCCAACTACCTGCATGTTTAAATTTCGTGGCAACGGTGTTGAACCTAGGGGGAACTGTGTTGAACATTTTCACCTTTTGTTTTTAACAATATGTTTATTTATGCTTGGTTTACAACAAAAGTAGTATCTATCCACTTCTATGGGAAGCTTTGCCATGCAATATTCATATCTGAATTTGCGTGGTCATGCACCATCTGTTTCATCTTTAAAATAAAAATTATAAACAATGCCCAGTGTAAAAAAGATATGATTCAAGGTTTTTCAAAATCACTAAAACCGAGCTATAATGTTAACTTAAAAGCTTTAAACTGAAAAATTTTCTTCGCCTAATGGAATATTTCTGCCTAAATTAACCGCTTAAGTATTTCTATATTTTAGACAAGCGTGCGTCACAAACAGTAAGTAATGAACCACCTGTGCATGCATGCATGCATAATACAAACATGCATAAAGGTAGATTTTTGTGTATATCGACAGTACTATCCAGAAATAACCTAACAAAAACCGCAGTTAACCGCTCGGTCAAACTTCGGTCTGACAGACATTTCTTAATTAAGATGTTTTCGATTTGATTATTGTGTTGTCGTTCTCAGCTGTTCATAACATTTCGTTTGGAAGCGAACGGCAACTGCGATCGATTTTTTCTGCGTATTTTTCCCCTTGCGATTTCTGGGGACCTTAAGATACACCAAATCTACGACGCGGACGTGAAGTAATACTGTCTTCATGTCCACAGTTTCACAACAGGGATAAAAATAGGTACGCTAAGCGTACGTGTATCTGCTCACAACAATCTTTGGACAGCAAATGGACCATATGGATTTGGCAATGTTTTTTAATTTCCTGTCTACTGGTGAATGGGAATTGATGATTACCTACACTTTTTTACCGCAGTTCAAACAATAGGAAATATGCTTAGTAATACGCAGTAATGTCAGTCATGACAGTAATATTGACGTGCTCTGTTTTGAGAGCTGGGAGGTCACACTAGCTCGTTTGCGTTTCCTATATTCCATTGCATATGCTCGTTTATCCTTCATGTATTTTTTCATATATTCTGTTCTTCTTTCCTTATGTTGAGAGCTCCTATATTTGACTGTTCAGGTCTTCAGGATTTAGAAGTACCTGATGGCAAAGTTATTACATACAGGAGCAGATATATAAAGAGGGTTCACTCTGGCGAAAATCAATCACACGCATAGTTGAGCCACACTACGCATGCGTAATCTCCCAGCCAGTACCATATCATAAAAACAACAATTTTAACAGAACTATCCAAGTGATTTGCTGTTTCGTTGCAATTTCCAAAAAATGGGTTGGAATGGACATTTTTAACAACAAATTGGGCCATGAACACCACAAGAACACGGCGGAAAACTGAACGTTTTGCAAACGCTAAGCCCCGTTTTTGTGTAACTCGCTACAGGTAGTGACTTGCTCTTTTCCGAAAAGGTCTATACATATATAATGAATTGCAGTCATACTTGTGGAGAGATTCTGTGATGTCTGAGGATTGCTTGGATGTATCTATAGGAAGATAAAGAAAAAGCCGTTTTACGGGGTTAGGAATGCAAATTTGTCACGCAAAATGCAGTACTGTCCAAACGCTAAACCGTACTCCATAGGTGGATAAAAATGATCACTTACTATTAATGTTCAAAATTTTTAGTTGTCCTTATATACGGGGATCTAAAGAATCGCTTCTTTAATATCGCCACTTTCTGCACTTCGAACTGCGTTTTCATGTAGTTTACTATCGAAAACCCAACCATGGTACTGGCTGCTGCATATTAAATGTTTATTTGGAATATTTAATTTGCTTTTAACGGCGCGGAATTGCGTGAATAAGGCGTGGAAATGACGTGGGCACGGCAAATTCGTGTGATATCTTAAAGCATATAATTTTTGGAGAGTGAACCAACCCTATTTGTATATCCACTGTTTGCCGTAGTCCTTTTAGGAAAGATCATGTTGACTAAATTTGTGTAAAAAGCCCATTAGCTTAACGACAACAAATTTTGTCTGATTGGGTGAGCCTAAAAACCTAGTTTGGCGTGAAAGTGACGAATCTTGGAAGTCATGTCTGATCCACGGTTACTTACTCTCAGTTTTTAGTTATACAACTTAATTCCCCTGCAATATAATATTTTATTTTTTGCCGTATATGCCAGATATAAGCTTTAGTTAAAAATGGCACGGTCAAGATATAAGTAGTTTGAAGATAATCAAAACTACATGTGCGTTATTTACAATTAATTATTTATTACGATGCAATAGTATTCAAAATCTTTCTTGTGCTTCGTTCTGTGCTGTGAAAATTTGCGAAAGAAAAGTCAGTGCAAAAAGAAAATTCATATGTTGACTATTTAGGCTATTGCAAAAATCCCATACATTACTTCAGGATATATGTTTCATTCTTTAACCCCAGCATCGTAAGTTTCCGAGTGTAAAATAGCCATACTCAGTGGTAGTATTACCAGTATCACCAAATCTCAGTTCAGTAACAGGCAGCGTGTTCTTGTCTGTCAGGTATCCACTGTCTTCACGCCATGTATATTCATTCTTGTCACAATTACATTTTCTTTGACCTGCACAGCTGTTGGTCATTCCACAGGCACATTTTCCACTGTCGACTGCCGCTCCACCCCAGTAATTCATCTTTAAACCTTGACGTGTTACCCACCAACCAGTCGAGCTTTTTAACAACTTGCTATGATAACATTCATACCTTATGAACTGCTCACAATTGATTGACTGATTCAAAATAGCGACAATATGCTCGGTAGAAATCCCATACTTAATCGTTCGATTATAAGAGCCTTTTTTATTATATCCGTTTACATGTGTTCTTGCTTCACTGTCGTGTTCAATCTCCGTCACACCAACACCATCATTGGAAGTCATGTTACAAAACACTCTGACCGGGAGGTTCAGTCCTCGTGGCATTATGGAGTACATTCCACTCTCAGCTGAGTGGAATTTTGCTTTTAAAGTCGTACAAGAATATTCAATTCCGATGAGACAGGTCTCAAATAAACCTGCAAAAGTTTGAAAATCGCTTTAAGTTTCGCATGTTTCAGATATTTCTGGACATATATTTATAGTTCATGTTCAATTAAATCTATAGCGAACAAGTAAATGCAGATTCAGTGCAAGAAGTCGCGCGATCGACTTTTTTGGAACTGATCCTATTAGTTGAACTTTACTGAACAAATTTCAAAAGAAACGATCGCAAAAAATCAATCTTCCGACATTTTGAACTGCATGAGTGCATGGAAGTTGTATTTATAAAAATTCCAAAACTCAAAATGTAAATTCAACGTTCGTTTACACTTCGACTAAAAGACATCAACCTGAAAGAATTCAGCTGGGCGCTTGGAAAATCATAGAATTGTCATATAAAAATCGTATATATCAATATGAATAATTGTAATATTTAAGTTTACAGCAATTTAGTGTTTATTCCTACATGTTTTACTTATAGTGTTTTACCCCCCGTAAAATCTGTATGATGTCGTGGACAATTTATTGCCAGTAATATGTTGTGTTTTAGAGTTAGAAGGATGGATTTAGTATGGGACTCGAACTAGTTCTGTTATTCATTCCTTCAATCATATCTACACGTGTATATTTTTAACTATTATATATGCATGATTGTAAAGCTAATAAAAAAATATACCTGTGCAGAGATGCTTTGATGTTTGTGAAGTCCTTGCAAAATCTGTTATCTAAATTAGGATACGGAATAGATCATTTCGGTGCTGTATATACTGAATTAATGTTTTTTCTTACCTTTTTGATTATATAAATGTGTTTAAACTCAGGGTTACTCGTACTTTCGTTATCGTCCGATGTGGCTTGAAAAGTCTTGTTATTGAGCTCACATCGACCTTCATCGATTCCAGCAATTTTGTATTTGACCGACACACATGATCCATGAGCAACGCAATGCATACTGCATTCATCCGATGACATAATTGGCTAAATATTTTCCATTATTTATACGAAAAAAACCTTGGACAGTTAAGCTCTTTCCTGACCGGAATGATGTTGAAAAGAAAACAAACGCGCCAATTCTTGCTAAGACAGACATTATTACACTGGATATATAGCTTCCCCAACGATAGTTTTAATTACATTGGTTAGTTCATCCATTAATAATATGAAAATGAAATCTAATATCTTTTATTCATTTTCTTTATACAAATTTTACAATGTTACGACTTTGGGCTGTCTATTATATGTAAACCTTTGCAAACAACTCTGAATTCTGGATAAGTAGGGAAAATTAATGCCTTGAACTTCTTATTTTTGCCTTATATTTTACAAAAGCTTACCATGGAAAAGTCGAAATCAGGACTTATAAATCTTTCTAATCAAACATGTTTTTCCTTTTTTTTGATTTTTATATATCAAGTGTCTCAACTTTGAAAACACAATTAAAACTGACAGATCGTTGTTCCACATGTGAGCAAATTACAAAAAAAGATTGTTTCTGAACATGGACACAGAACAGAACGAACTGCATTGAACCAGAAAATAACATTCACGAAAACAATCTTTTTTTGAATTAGTTTTGCCTGCATGATATTTCAGCATGTCGGTATGTGTTGACAAGCGATCATTGACACTACAAGTTATAGACATTTACATATGAATTATTTGCGTTTTAATTTGCATCACAGCTAGACTACTGTGTCAAAATCAAATAATCTAGCCCTCCATCATATATTAATAGATCTTAATCAGTGTTGACATTTATGTATTAATAAATAAATAAAAAAAATTAAGTTCGGTGAATGAAATTGATCAGGACAGGTCATTGTCATAAAACAAAATTAGGCAAGAGAATGAACCGTTGGGAAGGATCGGGGGGGGGCGTTATGGAGGGGGGGGGCGTTATGGACGGAACGTGCCCACTTAAAACTAGTCTTTCACCGTCCATTCGTCCAAGTACTGGCGACACTAATAGATTAATTGACTTTATTTCAGCATACACATAACTACTTGTATTTATAATTTCGGACAGCTTATTTTAAATTGTATCGTTTTTACATGTGAACGACTAGAACAGAAAATTGAAGAATTACATTAGGCACATATTCATGTTGTGCACGGTCAATTTCTTTTCAAATTGATTGTGTTTACAAGGCTGTTAACATGAATATATGAATATGTTCCTCCCGAAAATAGAGAATGTTGTACAAAGTAAATGATATATTGACTCACATGCATTTTACATATAACGCGACGCGTGGAAAAAGGTAGCCTTATAGACTAACAATGACAAAAAATTAGTCGCACGGAACTGACGTAGCTTCTCTCAACCCCAACAACGTAATTTACCCAGTGTATGATAGCCTTCCTAATCACCAGTACCAGTGTCTCCAAATCTCAGTTCAGTAACAGGCAGCGTGTTTTTGTCTGTCAGGTATTTTGTTATTGTAAAAAATTGTCTTGATGGACATGGTGTGAAATCGGGAATTGCAAATCAGTTGCACGAAATACCTGTTTTGACGCTAACTTTAATGGCTAATAAATCCACAAAGAACTTTTCAATAACAAAATGCATTGCAAAGTTTTTTAAAAAACCTTAAAATTTTGATATATTAAAATACCGCAAAAAGCACTGTAATAAGCATGGTAATACGCACTTTGATAGACCGGTGATCAAAGTTAACAAGAAAATAGTTTTAGTTACATTATAATTATCAACGTGACTTTTCTCAACCCCAACATCGTAATTTTCCCAGTGTATGATAACCACGCTCAGACTGATGCTCTTGTTTTCCATTACCAAATGTCCTGCCAGTATCTCCGAATCTCAGTTCAGTAACAGGCAGCGTGTTCTTGTCTGTCAGGTATCCACTGTCTTCACGCAATTCCTTGTCATTCTTGTCACAATTACATGTTTCCTCACCTGCACAGCTGTTGGTCATTCCACAGGCACATTTTCCACTGTTGACTGCCGCTCCTCCCCAGTAATTCATCTCTGTGCCATGACGTGATACCCACGAGCCAAAAGAGCCTTTTAACAGCCTGCTATGGTAACATTCATACCTTATAAACTGCTCACAATTGATTGACTGATTCATAATGGCGACAATCTGCTCGATAGAAATCTCATACTTAATCGTTCGATTATAAGAGCCAGGAACTTCATATCCCTTCACGAGTGTTCTTGATTCACTGTCATGTCCAATCTCTGTCACACCAACAGCGCCCTTTGAAGTCATGTCACAAAATACTCGAACCGGAGAGTCGAGTCCTGGTAGCTTTATAGAGTACGTTCCATTTTCAACTAAATTGTTTTTGGTTCGCAAAGTCGTACAAGAGGTTTTCATTGCAATTGTGAGTGACTGATTGCTATGATCCAAATCAGCTGCAAAAAACATCTCTGTCATTTTTCTACAAAATGTATTTTAACAATAGTAATTACTAATCAACTATAACTAATTTTGAAAATAGTATTTTGCATGAGCTTGAAATAATTAAATTTGACAAATGACCTAAATTGCATTGCATTCTGACATATTCACACAGTATGAAATTCTAAAGTTTCTCGGCAAGAATCTCGATCATCATCATGATCATCATCATCATCTTTATTTAAAACAAGTCCATTTCACAAAAAAGTGCTCTTCGGATCAATGGAGACGTGTACCTAAATACCTAATTACAAAATACTAAATAATTTGCACACGCAAAGAAAAATAATCTCGAATATAATTGAAGGAAATTTTAGAGCTAAACTCGGCGAGCGATTTAGGAACCATTTTATTAACTGCTTTGTACATCGATGTGTTAAGCCGTTGAGTTCTCCCTGTTTCAAGGTTGGTCCAATTCAATGTTGATAAAATATCAGAGGACCTGGTATTATAATCGGACCTGGTGATTATTCTTGCAGCTCTATTAAACTTTTTTGTAAGCGCTGCAGCTTTTGTCCAAGGCCCTTGCCCAAGCTATCTCAGTCAATGCTGCAGTAATCAAAGTGTGGCTCATATTAATAATGAGTTGTATATCAAGACGAGGGTTGACTGTGGTAGTAGGGCCTAATGGTTAAGCTTTCGCAAGACTCCAAAATCCTTGGAATTTATAATAGAAACACGATACTCCCAGGTCAAACTGTCATCCAGTCCTAAGCTTAAGCACTTGTAATTTTTAACTCGTTTGATTTTATTTTGGACATATAGCGACTTTAGGCTTTTCTGGGATAATACTTAATTTTTGTCTGGATGCAATTTACATTGCATTTAGTTTTAGTCGGATTCACACTTAATCTATTCAAATTAAGAGAATTTTGGACATTGGAGTGTGTTAAGATCATCATTTAGAACGGAGATTGACTTGTCTGATTCACTGTCCGCTAAAGTTAAGTTAGTAAAACGCCACATGTTACTTTGCAAGTGTCAGACGGTATGTTATTGATAACTGTTATTTGCGTACATCTGAAAGATAGTTTGTAAAAAGATCAATCGTTTAACATTAAAACCATAACTTCTGTAACAAAATTTTATAATCAATGGTATCAAAAGCCTTTTTCGAAGTATTGAATAGAATATAGCCTTTATCAACCCACTCTCCATATTTGTGTGCCATTTGTCAGTACGTGTCATCAAGCATAGCTGTTAACGTTGAGTGAAAAGGTCTAAATCCTTATAAAAGATCATTTTCGTTTAGAAGAAAATATGCTTGATCAAAAACAACCTTTTCAAATATTTTAGCAACTACGGAGAGGTCTGAAATAGGCCTATAATTATTAAGGTCTAGTTTAGAATCGTGTTTATAAATTGCTGTTACCCTGGCACACTTCCAGTCAACGGGGATTTTCCCTTCACGAATTACAAGGTTGATTAGCTATATGAGTAAGTGATACAATAGTAGTAAAATTAACTAGTTTTAGTAATCGGACTGAAATGTTATCAAGACAACGAGCTTCAGAAAGTGTTAATTTCTAAATTAATCCTAACATTTCGGGTGGACTAACTTCATGGAATTTCAACAACTTCATTACACTGTGGAATGTCAAAAGAAACCGTTCCAGTGGCTGAGATTTCCGCCGCTAACTTAGGTCCGATTTCAGGAAAGTGCTGATTGAAAACATTACTATAATTGCTACTGGATCTGTAATTTCAGTTCCACCTTGCAAAATTTTCGGTATTTACTAGTTCAATTTTTTTATTGTGAAAGAAGGCTATTGATAAGGTTCCAGGTTTCCTTAGTTCGACCTATAATGGTTTAAAATAAGGAGTTATAATATTGTTTTTTCTATCTCTTATTTTGTAGTTAACTATAAGTTTATAACAATTTTAAAGTTAACTCAATCATTTTCATCGATTGCATAACTGCTTTCCGCTTTAGTCGATCTCTCTCCCATATTAACTTTTTGATTTCTACAGAAAGCCATGGGGCATGAGTTTTCTTTATTCGTTTTTGTTTTACTAGCTAGAGCATGCTTATCAGCAACGTCAAGAAACAGTTTTTTCCAAATTTGCCAAGCAGAAATAGGATCATCAATAGCAACTATGTTCAGCCATGCCGCAAAAGAATCAATATCATGCTTAAAAAAATTTCACAATATTAATTTTATAGCTGCGGGATTTAATACAGATAGGCTTAGATTTAGTAGTAGAGTGTTTTCTAATAGCGTAAATTAAATTATGGTCACTTATGCCAAGAACTATGGTGCATGCAGAGGTATAAAGTTATGTTGGGTTCATTAGTCAAAAAAGATCGAGTAACGTGGAAGAGCTATTTGTAACTCCAGTAGGTTCCTTAAGGAGTTGAGCACATTGATGAGCAGTGGCGCGTCGCCAGCATCCATAAGTGGGGTGGACATATTCATATATTCATGTTCACAGACCGTTAAAACAATCAATTTGAAAATAGATGAATAATGTAAAACACGAATATATGAATAAGCCCCCCCCCACTTACCAAGCTGGCGACGCCATTGTTGATAAGACTCACTTAGTAGAGTTAGTATAACTAACTCTCTTGAGGAAGGCCCTCAGGTCGAAACGTCAGGAAGTGTTTTGTCTATTTTAGGCAGTTGTTATACCACTATGTAAATTCATTGACCTTTCAACGTAGCACTCGATTTTTTAAATGTTTCGTAATGCTTTGTTACAAATTTGGAGCCAAAATATTTTAATTTATCAGCTTTAACCTGCTTAGGGCCCATTATGGCTAAATTTTCAGGGCTCACCGGGAAGTTTACCGCTCTCCCGATGGGCCACGCCGCCCCTGAATTTGATTTGTCAGTTCCAGGTAAGATTTCACTGGTAATAATAACATTTTTTGAGGAGAGTCCTGTTTGATCTGTATTCCTAATTTAATAATTCCCTCTGCTTTTTCATTTGGCGAGGTTTGTTTAAATCATTTGTTCCAACATGTAGAATTACGCTCTCGGATTCCTTTCGAGTTACAGGCCTCTCAAATAACCTACCATGCATGTCAGTACAATTTTTTCCCCCAAAACATTTTACGACAACGTGATTATTGAAAGCTGAAAGACGCCAGCCTTGAATATTTCTGATGATCGAGTCCCCAATTACAGCTCCAGCTAACTTTCTTCTTAAATGCTTGACTTTTATCGCTAGACTGTACATCTTAATTTAGCAACGGCAGTTGTTTCTCATCTTGGTTTATTTCGTTCTCCTTCTGAGATTTAGCTTTGGCTTTTTGCTTAGTAGACTTAGATCCTTTATTCTTATCACAAAATTAAGCGACATTCGAGAGCAATACAAAAATGACAAATATTTTAAAAGCCATAGATATAACCAATGGATCTTTCTTAACTAAACAATATGTTATTATGTCATTGTTTAAAATTTCGATCTAGTCTCTGCAAAATTGAAACAATTTCTACATCTGCTATAAGTTCTGTCTATAGGGCTGTCCATAATTTTGAATGTTATTTCTGCGGCTTAAAGCTTTTGGACAGATGCATCTTGGAGACGTTTAGAAGGCTAGGCGTTATCTTGGCTAGGCTATTTGTGACCTTCAAATTATGCACGTATTCGCCCTTGGAGGGAAGACGTTATATGCGTAAATCGAACGTTATTATACCTGTGGAGATGTTTTGTGATGTCTTCGAAGGGCTTGTTCGTTTTGAATTCTAAAAATAGTTTTGAGAGTGATCGTTACGGACGAAAAATGCGAGCATGATTTTGATAGTAGCGTGAAGTTGTTAATACTGGCTTGTGCTATGGCATTAAAGTTTTGAAAACGGAAGTTTGACGTTTCCGATCCATTTTCCTTATACAAATTTGACAATGTTATAACAGATTACAGGGGTGGATCCAGCACTAGTGCACTAATTTGCATTACAAAACAAAATTGCTATTCTCAGCAGTTTTCTTGTGTCATGCAAATTAGTGCACTAGTGCTGGATCCACCCCTGACAGATTATAAGTTTTATAACTCGTGGCTGTCTGCATATTTTATATATAAACATTTGAAAACGACACTGAAATCAGGTGAAATTCTTTTGAAACTTAAATTCTGCTTTTACAGTCATATTTAGGTCCACTAAAATGATGAACTTCTTTACACAATGCTTGCCTGTATATAATGTACGTGCGTGCAGTATTGTACCGCTAGTTTATGTACATATAATATTAAATGATTAATTCATTGCGATATAATGAATTGTATATTAGTAATTCATCATGTAAATATGTCTCACGCATTGACAATTAAAATTAAAAACTAATGAACAAAATGTAATAATGGATAGAATAAATCATAGATCTGAAATAATACGACTCACGGTTAGGTTAACAAAAATCAGACAATATTTGCTTTTATTCTACATACTTTTCGAACTTCTGTTTTAATTGTACATTACACTCATTTACTGCAGCTTAATTCATGTATTTCAGCAACAGGCAGCGTATTTTATTTGCCAAGTAACCGCTGTCTTTAGGCCTTGGTCAGTCTTGTGAAAATTACATTTAGATTTACATTTGCGTGCACACAACCACCATATTTACTTGCTTGGTCGAACCTAAGAACGCTGCTACCACAACATATTCATATATTTTATTAACCACACTACCCCATTCGTCACTCGTAACAAAATGTTTTAATCAATGGTATCAAAAGCCTTTTTCAAATCAATGAGTAAAATAGCCTTTATCAACCCACTGTCCATATTTGTGTACTATTTATCAGTGTCATCAAGCAAGCATAGCAATTAACGCGTTAATAATCAACGCGTTGAGTGAAGAGGTCTAAATCCTGACTGTATGTCTGATAAAAGAACATAACTGTTAAGATATAAGTAGTTTGAAGATGTACATTATTTACAATTAATTCTTTATTACTATGCAAGAGTGTTCAAAATCTGTCTAGTGCTTCGTTCTGTTCGGTGAAAATTTTTTAGAGAAAGTCAGTGGAAAAAGAAAATTCAAATGTTGAATATTTAGGCTATAGCAAAAATCACATAAATTACATCAGGCGTTTTGTTTCAATCTTTAACCCCAGCATCGTAATTTTCCCAGTGTATAATAGCCATACTCCTATAACCAGTATCACCAAATCTTAGTTCAGCCACAGGCAGCGTATTCTTGTCTGTCAGGTACCCACTGTATTTACGCCATTTTTTGTCATTCCTTTCACAATTACATTTTCTTCCACCTGCACAGCTGTTGGTCATTCCACAGGCACATTTTCCTCTGTTGACTGCCGCTCCACCCCAGTAATTCATCTTTGAACCTTGACGTGATACCCACCAACAATAATATGTACCTGTGGAGCCATACCTAAAAACGCTATGATGACATTCATATTTTATAAACTGCTCGCAATTCTTGGACTGGTTCATAATGGCAACAATCTGCTCCATGGAAATTTCATATTTAATCATTCGTCGGTAGGAACCCGGACTTTCATATCCGGTCACAAATGTTCGTGATTCACTTTCATGTCCAATTTCTGTCACACCAACACCATCAGTAGCGTAGCCAGCCTGTCGATTTGTCCCGGTATGCTAATATTTTAGTGTTCACTGACTGTGAAAACAATGGATTTCTAAGGACATGAATAATTATAATAACTCGAAATTTACATAGCGGGACAAAATCGTCAGGCTGGCTACGCCACTGAACACCATTCTTTGTAGTCATGTCACAAGATACAGGCACCGTTTAGTTAATCCCTCGTGGCTTTATGAAATGTATTCCACTTTCAGCTGAACGATTTTCTGATCTTAGAATCGTGCAAGTTTCAAATGCAATCGGGGTTGATTTGTCGGTACGATTATAAATACCTGAAGAAATAGCGGTCATAGTTACTAGTATATAGACACACAAAAAGAGAGTTGCTTTGATGTTTGTGAAGTCCTTGCAAAATCTGTTATCTAAATTAAAGGATACGGAAGAGATCATTTCAGTGCTGTATATAATTACGTGCATCAACATGGCAGACTGTGTCTATATTAATGAAGGTTAATATGTTTTTTCTTGCCTTTTTGATTATATAAATGTGTTTAAACTCAGGGTTACTCGGACTTTCATCATCGTCAGATGTATCTTGAAGTGTTTTGCTGTTGAGCTCACATCGACCTTTATCGATTCCAGCAATTTTGTAGTTGACCGACACACATGATCCATGAGCAACGCAATGCATACCGCATTCTAACTCGGTTTCAGCGTGTTTTGTCCCGATGACATAATTCGCGAAGTATTTGCCATTATTTATACGAAAAAAGCCTTGGACAGTTAAGTTCTTTCCTGACCGGAATAATGTTGAGAAGAAAATAAACGCGCCTATGCTTGCTAAGACAGACATTATTACACTAGATATACTGTTTCCCTAACGCCAGTTTTAATTACATTGGTTAGTTCATCCATTAATAATATAAAAATGAAATTTAATATCTTTTACTCATCTTCTTCATACAAATTTTACAATGTTACGACCTTAATAGGCTGTCTATTCATATGTAAACCTTTGGAAACAACTCTGAATTCTGGATAAGTAGGAAAAATTAATGTTTTAAACTTCCCAATTTTGCCTTTATATTTTACAAAAGTTTACCAGACAAAACGAAATTAGGACTTATACAAATCTTTTTAATCAAACATGTTGATTAATATAAATATCAAGTGTCTCAACTTTGAAAATCACAATTAAAACTGACAGATCTTTGTTCCACGTGCATGTGAGCAAAGAAAGATTGTTTCTCAACACGGGTTATAAAAAAGATCCATTAATATAGAGTGAAGAAATAATGTGTCTTTTGTACACTATAAACTGCGAAGCAAACCCATGCATGAACGCGCTAAAAATTAATATGTAACTGTCTAAGTTTTACCTATAATGTCAAAAATAGATTAATTTTTACTCCATGGATTCATTTTCACATTTGAAATACAGAACGAACTGCATTGAACCAACAAATAACGTTATTTTTCGAAATGCTTTTTTTTGGATTAGTTTTGCCTAATATTTCAGCATGTCGGCATGGGATGAAAAGCGATTATTTACACTACAAGTTAGACATTTACAACTCAATTATTAGCGTTTTAATTTGCATCACAGCGTGACTACTGTGTCAAAATCAAATAATCTAGCCCTCCACTATATATTAATAGATCTTAATCGGTATTGACATTTATTTATGCATAAATAAATAAATAAATAAATAAAATTCGGTATATGAAATTGAGGAGTTTTTGAGGAGGGAGTCCCAGAACGCTCCCCCCCCGGTTATTTTCGAAACTGGTTGTACGTGTGATAAAACAAAATTAGCTAAGAGAATGAATCGTTGGGGAGAGGAGGGGAGGGAGAGAAGGCGTTACGATGAAAGAACAGAACATGCACGCTCTTAAAGCTAGTAATCTCTCACCTTCCAAGTACTGACGACGCAAATAGATCAATTTACTTAACTGAAATAATAATACATAATGATATAATAAAAAATGATATAAAAAATAATGATATTACCACTCATTTACTTTACTTTATTATTACAGCATATACACAAAACTGCTCGTATTTATAATTTCGGACAGCTTATTTATAGTATCGTTTTTACACCTGAACAACTAATGCCAACAGTCGACGTTATCACTTATTTTCCTGATGCATGTCTTTCGAGTTTATTTTCGTGAAATATATTTGAAAACTCATCCTAATCTATGGCCACTTAAGCCGTCCCATTAATTGTTCACTAAATTGACAACGATGTGCATGCTTAGGTTATTATTCGCTCTTACGAAACTTTGTTGTTAAACATACAGTGACTTTGTTCACGCAGATGATTTGCAGGTAAATCAAACAATCAAGATTGCAATGTTATAAAAAGTAAATGATATATCGACTTACAGGTATTTTACATACAACGCGTTGCTTGGAATTAGTTAGACTTGGTCTAACATTGAGAAAAAAAATTAGTCGCAAGAGACTGACGTAGCTCCTCTCAACCCCAACAACGTAATGTACCCAGTGTATGATAGCCATGTCTCATTACCACGACGAGTATCTCCAAATCTCAGTTCAGTAACAGGCAGCGTGCTCTTGTCTGTCAGGTATCCACTGTCTTCACGCCATGTTGCATCATTTTTGTCACAATTACATTTTCCTCCACCTGCACAGCTGTTGTTTATTCCACAGGCACATTTTCCACTGTCGACTGCCGCTCCACCCCAGTAATTCATCTTTTTGCCTTGACGTGATACCCACCAAGCGAATTGTTCACCATTAGTAGTGTAGAAAATACTACTGTAACATTCATACTTTATACACTGCTCGCAATTCTTGGACTGGTTCATAATGGCAACAATCAGGTCAATGGAAATTTCATATTTAATCATTCGTTGGTAGGAGCCCGCGTCCTCATATCCGGTTACAAATGTTCGTGATTCACTGTCATGTCCAATTTCTGTCACACCAGCACCATTCTTCGAGGTCATGTTACAAAATACAGGCACCGTGTAGTTAATCCCTCGTGGCTTTATGAAATGCTTTCCACTTTCAGCTGAACGATTTTCTGATCGTAGAATCGTGCAAGTTTCAAATGGGGCTGATTTGTCGGTACGATTAAAAATACCTGAAGAAATAGCGGTCATAGTTACTAGTATGAAACATTTTCGTAAACAACAGTATGTAGCAACGCCGAGTTCGCCCACTGTTGTACAATAATGGTCTTAATTCAAAATAACCTGTAAATTTATCATAAGGCAATTCTGTGCTTCAGCTAATGAAGTCATTGTGAATATTAAATTTCGATCGAGTTGAATGAAGTTTAAATGTAGTTAATTCCGTGCTTCAGCTAATGAAGTTGAAGTTATTAAGTAGATCATGTGAAAACAATTTCAATTTTCTGGAATATTCTCGAATATTAGGATGAAGAAAAAGTCGTAATTAGAAATGCAAATTCGTCACACGCAAAATATGTTGCTATTTCCACGTTGTAGCTAGTAGTGAATTAGTATAATATTGGGTGATTTACAATGCATCGTGATTCGTGAGGCTGTATTTAGAAGAGACAATTCACTATTACTAGTCTATCTATGGATCTTCGGAGCTTAATTATACAGTATAGTTCGGGATTGATATTAAACAATATTCAAGAGCAATACAAAAATAACAAATATAGACAAGGCTATTTTAAAATCCATAGTTATAACCAATAAATCTTTCTGAACTAAACAGTATTGTTGTGTCAATGTTTAAAATTTCCATGTAGTAATTGTAGTTTCAATTCAAATTATGTGTTAGCTCTTGTAGGGAAGACGTTATATGCGTAAATCTAATGTTATTATACCTGTGGAGATCTTTCGTGATGTTTTTGAAGGGCTTGTTGGTTCCGAATTCTAAAAATAGTTTTGAGAGTGATCGTTACGGATGAAAAATGTGGAACTGATTTTGTGGAAGCTCCACAGTTGCGTGAAGTTGTTAATACTGGCTTATGAAGTTGCGAATAATATTGGTTACACAACATTTCTTGCATGCAAAGATTAAGATCGAATTAATTATATTTAGCAGAAATTATTTTGTTTTCTCTTACTATTTTGATTATATAAAGATGCTTGAACTCAGGGTCACTCGTACATTCATCATCGTCGGAGGTGTCTTGAAGGGTCTTGCTGTTGAGCTCACATCGACCTTTACCAATTCCAGATATTTTATAGTTAACAGACACACATGAGCTATGTCGAACGCAATACATACTGCACTCCAACTCTGTTTTAGCTTGTTTTGTTTCTATGACATGATTTGCTAAGTATTTACCATCTTTTTTACGAAAGAAGGCTTGGACGTTTGAGCATTCGCAAACCTGAAGTGTTATTGAAAGGAAAATTAACGCACAAATGCTTGCGAACGCAGACATTTTGGCGCTGAATACATTTGGTTTCTACAACGGTATATATACCTACAAATTTTAATTAAAAAAGATGATATATTCAGCTCTATAGCATTAACGTTTTGAAAAGGAAATTTCATGTTTCTGATCCATTCTCCTTATACAAATTTGACAATGTTATGACTTGTGTCTGTCCGTTTTGTATAATTATAAACATTTGAAAACGACACCGAAATCTGCGGGAATTGTTTTGAAACTGTAAATTCTGCTTTTACAGTCATATTTAGGTCCACGAAATGGATGAACTTCTTTACACAATGCTTGCACGTATATGCATGTGCGTGCAGTATTGTACCCCTAGTTTACGTACATAAAACATTAAATGATTAATTCATGGCGGTATAGTGAATTGTATATTATTAATTCATCATGTGAGATGTCTACGCAATGACTATTAAAACTAAAACTAATGCATAAAAAGTAATAATGGATAAAATAAATCATAGTTCTGGAATAATACGAGTCACGGTTAGGTTAACAAAAATCAATATTTGCTTTTATTTTACTTACTTTCCCAACTTCTGTTTTAATTCGCTAGGGCATATATATTAGTTAGTATCATACTAACTCTCCTGATGAAGGCCCTCAAGTCGAAACGTCGAGAAGGGTTTTGTCTATTTTAAGCAGTTGTTATACCACATTTGATGTTAAGTTGTTTGAAGACGCTGTCACGCTGCTCTCTGGTTATATATAATAGTTGCACTCATTTTCTGCAGCTTAATTCATATTAAATATCCAGTTTTGTCTTTAAATTGTAATAATTAACTTCCCTCAGGATTGTAATGAGAAATTCATATCATAGTCCAGTTTGAAGAGTTCAGTTTCAGGAAAATAATATTCACAAAGAAGCACTTTCATATTTGCTTTCACGTTGTTAGTTTGCTCCATAGCTTACACAATTTCCTTTATTGCCTGATTTACTAACTTTCAAGCGTGCGTGGAAGCCTAATTAATCTTTTGGTGATATACGATACATGTTCTGAATCTTGAAATATAATCCTTAGCTTAATCTAATCATTTCGCTCTAGTAGTTGGGGAAGGCTCAAGTTTAAAAATTTTCTTAATATCTATCTTTCGAGATGTAACTCTAAGTAAATTAGCTTGTAGGTACACCGCGCAAGTATTTAATACTGCAAAGCTTTCGGTCCGTTAACCCGAGCCTTCATCAGCACATGTAACTCTAGCTAGACATTTGTGACTTCTGTAAATAGGCAAACTTGGATGTCAGATTGACTGAGCATGTCCTATAAACAGCATTTTTTTCTTCTTTGAGATTACAGACTGATTAATATTGAAGCAATGAACAGCTAAATTCTATGAAAACCGGGTAAGCAACAAACAGCATGGGTAACAGGCTATTCGTCAATATATCAGCATCGTACCAAAAACTGAAACAACTTTAACTTGTTGACATTGATAGGTTATTCAAGTTAAAGTGTGTGCCCGCAATTTTTTGCACAGCGACAACAACTTTCTCAGCTGTTGCGCCTTGACATATACGTCACAAAACGTCATAAATCTATTGTTTATGAAAATCCTGACATCCAAAATTCTTCATAATGGAGATTCGTGACGAGACTGGCGTGAGTTACAGAGAAATCCAACCAGCAGTGAAGGTTAGGTTGCTGCCTCGCTTCTGGTGAAAATCGGTCACACGCATAGCTGAGCCACATTACGCATTACGCAATACTCCCTTTCAGTACTTGGTGGTTTTTCATGAGGAAAAATGCAATTTCTATCATAAAAACAACGATTTTAACAAAACTATCAAAGCGATTTGCTGTTTCGTGACAAATTAAACAAAAATGGGTTAGAATGGATATTTTGACAACGAAAGAAGATGAAAAAGTTGTTTTATTATATACCACTTGTCAAAGTTTTGTTTTCGTAGCGTTTCATTGGTCGAGAGCAAATCACGCGAGAGTGACGAAATTTTGATGTCGCCAGCGCGACCCCCTGCAGAGTGAGATAACGTGTTATCTCTTGGGAAATAACAACTTTTATCCATTTGAAATTATATCTTTTATAAATAGATATTTCGTTGTTTACCTTGTAGTTTGGTTTTTCTTTGACAAGTGGTATATAATAAAAAACTTATTTACCGAAAACTCAGAAAACATTATGTTTTGTTGACCCTCGACCATCGATATTTTACTCGGCTTCGCCTCGTGAAATAACGACAGGTCTCGGGTCCACAAAACATAATGTTTCCTTCGTTCGCAGTAAATAAGTGTTAATTATACCATGTTTTATGCGCTGTCTTATGTAGCTTCTGTCGGCTCACACGATGTTCAGAAATGGCCGTTCGGAATATTTTGCATGGTAATGATGGGGTAGGAACATAATTCACTTCTTGTAAATGATGCAGAACTTGTGAAGAACAATTAAGAACAGAAGTTGACCGAAAGCGTCTTTTATTCCTAAATCCACTTGTTTTATCCGTCTCACTAGCCACCTAGCTCCGCAGGTATCTCTTATGTATTTATATTAGGAATTTATAATTTTTTTAATACACAAGAGATGCCTGCGGAGGAGGCTACCGTCTCAATGTCCTAGTGCATGTTGTTATTGATATTTTTTGCATGTAACTTATTTTTCTTTTCCCTCGTGTTTTTTTGTACATGAAATACGAAATTAAACGTATAAAAATAAGAAAAAAAAACATTTACGGACCGGCATGGCGGCTACTGTGGGAAGATCGCTTCTTCAAGTTTCAAAACGAAGTGAACGTTTCGCAAACATTAAACCGTACTCCATAAGTCGACAAAAATTATCGCTTACTCTTAATGTTCAAAATTTTTGTTCTGATATAGGGATCTAAAGCATCGTTTCTTTCATATAGCCACTTTTTGCACTTCGAACTTCGTTTTCCTGTACTTAATTTACTATCGAAAATCCAGCAATGGTACTGGCTGCTGCATATTAGATATTTATTTGGAATATTTAATTTGCCTTCGACGGCGCGGAATCGCGTGAATAAGGCGTGGAAATGACGTGGGCACGGAAAATTCGTGTGACATATTAAAGCATATAAAGAGGGTGAGCCAACCCTCTTTATATATCCACTCTTTGTCGTAGTCGTCGAGCTTTTGAGTAAGATCATGTTGACTAAATTTGTATTTAAAAGCCCGTTAGCCTAACGCCTACGAATTTTGTCAGATTGGGTAAGCCAAACAACCTAATTTGGCGTGGAAGTGACGAATCTTAGATGTCATGTCTGATCCACGGTTACTTATTCTCAGATTTTAGTTATACAACTTAATCCCTCTGCATTATATTTTATTTTTGGCCATATATGCCAGATATAAGCTTTAGTTAAAAATGGCACGGTCAAGATATAAGTACTTTGAAGATAATCAAAACTACATGTACATTATTTACAATTAATTATTTATTACGATGCAATATTATTCAAAATCTTTCTTGTGCTTCGTTCTGTGCGGTGAAAATATATGCGGAAGAAAAGTTAGTGCAAAAAGAAAATTCATATGTTGACTATTTAGGCTATAGCAAAAATCCCATACATTACTTCAGGATATATGTTTCATTCTTTAACCCCAGCATCGTAAGTTTCCGAGTGTAAAATAGCCATACTCAGTGGTAGTATTACCAGTATCACCAAATCTCAGTTCAGTAACAGGCAGCGTGTTCTTGTCTGTCAGGTATCCACTGTCTTCACGCCATGTATATTCATTCTTGTCACAATTACATTTTCTTTGACCTGCACAGCTGTTGGTCATTCCACAGGCACATTTTCCACTGTCGACTGCCGCTCCACCCCAGTAATTCATCTTTGCGCCGTGACGTGATACCCACCAAGCAAATAGTTTATCATCATGATTGTGGAAAACACTACTGTGACATTCATACTTTATAAACTGCTCGCAATTCTTGGACTGGTTCATAATGGCAACGATCAGGTCAATGGAAATTTCATATTTAATCATTCGTCGGTAGGAACCCGCGGCCTCATATCCGGTCACAAATGTTCGTGATTCACTGTCATGTCCAATCTCTGTTACACCAGCACCATTCTTCGAGGTCATGTTACAAAATGCTGGCACCCTGAACTTAATTCCTCGTGGCTTTATGAAATGCTTTCCACTGTCCGCTGAATGATTTTCCGATCGTAGAATCGTGCAAGTTTCAAATGCAATCGGGGCTGATTTGTCGGTACGATTGAAAATACCTGAAGAAATAGCGGTCGTAGTCACTAGTATACACACACAAAACGATTTTGGTAAGCAACAGTATCTAGGAGCGCCAATTTCACCACTTTTGAACAATTAATGCTCATATATAGCTCAAATCCCCCTTTAAACCCCTGTTACCGCTGATTATTTCTCGTTCTCCCAAACTCCCACGCAACTCCCACAACACAAATGTTTATAAAATAAAGTTAACTTTCTGCATGAGTAAAGTACAATTCCTTATCCTATCTTTCTATTACAAGGAAGCGAGGCTAGTCAGATTTTCATTTTTCTGAATTTCAAAATCGTGTTTACTCTCACTTTTCTGCTGGACATGTCAGAAGCTACGAAAACAAATAATTTTGGACCTGTTTTGGCAGAAGAAAACCTGACTAGCCTCGTTTTTGTAATTTTGTGTAACTCGCTACAGGTGTAACAGGTAGCGCTTGCTCTTTTCCGAATAGGTCTATACATATAATATAATGGATTGCAGTCATACTTGTGGAGAGATTCTGTGATGGCTGAGGATTGCTTGGATGTATCTATATATCAAGATAAAGAAAGAAACGTAATTAGGAATGCAAATTTTTCACGCAAAATACAGTATACTGTCCAGAAATAACCTAGCAAAAACCACGGTTAACCTAGGTCAAACCGCGGTGAGACCGATGTTGAACAGGCATTTCTTAAGACGTTTTCGATTTAATTAATGTGGTGCCGTTCTCAGCAATTCACAACATTCCGTTCGGAAGTGAACGGCAACCGCGATTTGTTTGGCTTAAATGGCGGATACGTTTATACACACTTGTTGTATTTTAGATTTTAATAGGACCTCTTCTAGATTAATCAATTTTTAATATCTGTACGTATTTACCATCTGTAAATCCACTGTAATTTTTATCTTAAGACGGTAGATTTCAATTGGGACATTGTGTCCTGTTCCTTCCTCCTGTCGTTAATATTATGTAATATTGCGACGAATTTTATTAAATTAAAATTAAAATTCAAAAGGTGGATTATTAAAGAGCTTATATCATATAGTTACTTGTTTATACATGCACAAATAAATTTTGGTAAACAAGTTAACAAAGTCTTTCGGATGTATTCAAAAAGCTCACCTACATTCACACTCATTGAATGTGATATAGAAATTTTGTTATTGCAACCAATGCTAATTTCCTTCTTAATCAATATATACGGAAAAATTTAAGGTAAACCACGGAAAATCAAGCTCTCTATTCGACTGAAAATTGCATCATGAAAATGTTATGAGAAGATTATAAGATCTCCCATTCAATGAGTTTGAGTGATATCGTAGAATACAGACGTTTGTGTTTTATTTCGAAAATAACAGCAGGTGTTCGGTTTGGCCAATCATTTTTCGTATGCCGTTTTTGATTGCTTTGTAAAAATGATATTTTTTCCACGTAAAATATCGTATTTTTACGTGCTTTTAACTTAACGTAAGTTACGTAACATGCACTAAATGTAATGTTTATATAGTGAAGTTAATTTCCGAAGTGATAAGTACGATTTCATATTCGATCTTTTTAGATATATAAATATATAGTTGCATAGGTATATAGACTAGACTAGTAATAGTGTGTATTCCTCCTATAAATACAACCCCATGCACGATGCATTTTCAATCAATATATTTTGTGTGACGAATTTGCATTACAAAGCCCCATGCATGACATTTGCTGGTTGTCCTTCCCAACTGGTTATTGAATGAATATTTTATTATAAAGAAAAATAATACAGTACTATGCTGTAGATGTTAAAAAATGTTCAAAAAACGAAAACAACAATAGGCTATAGGCTCTAGCTTTTCATGACTTATGTAATGACAATTATATTATATAGGTAGTAATAGTGAACTATTCCTCCTAAATGCCTAAATATTATATATATATATATATATATATAATATATATATATAATATATATATATATATATATATTTATAATATAACATAAGTGTAATATCTGTGGAGTGCATGCTTGGAGGCATCTGTATCAAGAAAAACTTGTAATTAGAAATGCAAATTCGTCACGCAAAATATATTGATTGGCAATGTATTTAGAAGGAATATTTCACTATTACTACCTATGCAACTTCGGAGCTTATAATTATATAGGTCATGAAAAGCTAAAGCCTATATAGATGATTGTTTAATGTTGTTGTTTTTCGTTTTTTGAAAATTTTTTAACATCCACAGCATATGTATTATTTTTCTTTATGATAAAATATTCATTCAATAACCAGTTGAGAAGGACAACCAGCAAATGTCATGGGGCTTTGTAATGCAAATTCGTCACACAAAATATATTGATTGACAATGCATCGTGCATGGGGTTGTATTCAGGAGGAATACACACTCTTACTAGTCTACTTTTGCAACTTCGGAGCTTAATCATATCGATCATGAAAAGCTAGAGCCTGGAGGATTGTTTAAAATTTTTTAACAACTACAGCATACTCTTTTATTTTTCTGTGTAATGCCTGGACATCCATTAACGAGTTGGGAGGGACGACCAGCAGATGTCATGGGGCTGTGTCGCATACATTTAGAACTTTATTTCATCAGTAAATTTTATTTTTTAGAAAAAGTAATTATCACATCTTGGAATGGGGTCCTACAATATTCATTGAACTTTTGTATAATGAAAGACGTTTTTATCAGCAGTTAGTCTATCTTTGAGACAAAATTTAGTGTATATATGAAGTGTTTGAAATTTTGTCCTAGTCCATTAAGGTTAATAATTTGTTTTTCTTATGTTGTTTTTCTTATGCATTTTTTCACGTTATGAATGGTTACTAGTACGTGGTATAAACAAAATCCAGGTGTGAAAGCGTGAAACAACTAACAACTTGCATTCTCTCAGAAACCTTCTTACACAAAACTCCTATGGAGATTAACTCAGGTACAAATTCCCCGGTATGGTGTATCATCGCTGGTTGGAGCTGCACAAATCTAACTATAAATCTAAATAAAATTGTTGTAGATGCTACTGACTAGCTAAGGTTTCTAAATTCGCACCGACGAGGTTACATTTACAAGCTTTAGGAGTGACTATATGAGTACGACTATGAGTACAAGTTCCGCCATTCTCGCGAGTTGTTAACGAGCTCCTTTTGTACGAGGTTGCAACCTACCTTTTGAAGTATAAAAATGTGTTTGAACTCAGGATTGATCGTACTTCCTTCACCGTTGGATGCGTCTTGAAGGGTCTTGCTGTTGAGCTCACATCGACCTTTACCGATTCCAGATGTTTTGTAATTGACGGACACACATGATCCATGGTTAACGCAATGACTACAGCATTCTAACTCGGTTTCAGCGTTTTTTGTTTCTATGACATGATTCGCCAAATATGTTCCATTTTCCACGCGAAAGAAAGCTTGGTTAACAGCTACAATGCATTCGCTTGGTTCAATTATTTTTGAGAGGAAAATCAACGCACTAACTCTTACGAAAACAGCCATAATGACACTGAATATGACCGTCGCTGACGCTTCTTTTTAAGCGCAGGCTTATTATTTATGCAACATTTTTGGCCACGCACAATTCCCTAAGACAACGTTTACACCATACTGGATTCACATGGTCACGATATCAGCTTAATTACGTTTTTTACAGATGATCTCTGTCGCATGCAGAGCTTTTTCATTTGGCAGATCATGTTGAAGCAATCATGCTATCGTACTTTTGGTGGTAAAATAGGGACTAGGACAGCCATGAGTCATGCTGAGACTGAATAAACAACCTTTGTTCCTAATTTCAGACCAACGGTTAATACGATTATATCCGCGTATTAAATCGCAATATATAAACATGTTTGGGAGCTTTTTTCTTATATCAAATGGTTTCCAAAAATCGTTTAAAATTCCTTTAAAAACATTGCCAGCAGGTTGTGTTTCTAAGGCAGTTGTTCGAAAGGTGTTTAGTTTAAACGATGGTTATGAGAAAATTTAAAAATACTCTCACACATCTTTTCAATGACTGAAACTTCGTCTTAACGACTTAAGCATTAAATATGAATCTCCATTGAAAATTCGGGTTTTAAAACGTTTCAAAAATTGGTTAAGGTGGAATGTTTGTAAATTTTAATTGAGAACGTAAGCAAATTATTTAAATGGCGTTTCCCGAACTATTTTGTAAAACTATTTCACAAAGTAAAAAGAACACATTTTTTGTTGATGATCATGAATACTTTTTTAAAAAAGGGGATAAAAGCTTTGCCATGCAATATTCATATCTGAATGTGCGTGGTCATGCACCATCTGTTATCTTTAGAATAAAAATTATAAACAATGCCAGTGGCTGTGTAAAAAAATATGATACAACGTTTTTCAAAATCACTAAAACCGAGCTAAAATATTAACTTAAAAGCTTTAAACTGAAAAATTTTCTTCGCCTAATGGAATATTTCTGCCTAAATTAACCGCCTAAGTATTTATATACTTTTAACAAGCGTGCGTCACACAAACATTAAGTAATAGACAACCTGTGTATGCATGTATGCATATATATGCATGTATGCATAATACAAAAGGCATAAAGGTAGTATAGCAGAACCTCATGTGTCGTTGCTGTGCAGAAATACAGAAGTACTGTGCAGAAATAAGCTAAAAAATAGCGGGTAACGTAGGTCAAACCTCGGTCTGATAGACATTTCTTAACATGTTTTCGATTTGATAATTCTGTTGTCGTTCTCAGGCTCTCAGCTGTTCATAACATTTCGTTCGGAAATCGGAAGCGAACGGCAACTGCGATCGTATTTTTCCCTCGCGGTCGTCTGCATATTTTTTCCCTCGCAGTTTCTGTGGACCTTAAGATACACCAAATCCAAGACGCGGACGTGAAGTAAACTGTCTTCATGTCCACAGTTTCACAGCAGGAATAAAAATTATCGACTTTTCGTAAACAAGGGCAGAGCTGTATATAAAACTAATCAAAATTAGGTTCCGAACACTGCAGGCTGATTTCATGTCACGTTCCTCATCGGTGAATGTTTTACAGCATGTAGCAATCGGGCCGAAACTAGAACGATAATTTGGGGGGGGGGTCAGTTTCTTTTGTAAGTGCAATAGCTCTGGCAAATTAAATGACAAGCATTCAATGTTTTCAAACGTAGTCTGTAGTCCGTCAATATCTTTAACTCCCTGCTAACACAAAACTGCTGCTTAGGCATTTACACTGGCCTGGAAATTACTACAAAATGTGCGACGGTGTAGTAACCGGGGGCCTACACCACTGACTTATCTATAGTAGATGGACTGAGCGCCCGGGGGCTAAATGTATCCCCACCGTTGCTCACGTCATATAGGTCCTCGCGTCGATGAAAATTACCGCAGGATAGTATTTGTTTTGGTTTGTGGGCGGGTTAACATTTTTTAAAAAGTTTTTAGTGAGTATCTTGTGCAAATTCGGGGTGCTTTTCGAAAGAAAGAAATACATTACTTCAGATATCGGAGGAATGCTTTTCAAGATGGAAATACAATGTTTTAATAAGTTTAATCCATCTTAGTGTAAAAAACAAATGAACAAGGACAATACAACGTACGTAAACTAATACTTGATTATTGTATCCAATATTGATTAATTGATTAGTTATTGGCAATCCACCTGCCAATACCTTGGTACAGGCAGGATAGTGCAGCTGATTAGGAGTTTTGACTGTTCAATCATTGCATAGATTTTGCCTTTGCCTTATTCCGAGTTTTAGCAAAGGGCATAGGTATAAAAGCCAAATTTGGGGTCGATTATTATTGATTTATTCGTCTAATGACTTTATTGACTTTTATTGACTTTATTAAAAACGGTACTATTTCACCAAAATAATTATTTACAAGAATATTAATTAAAAGAAGAGAAAGAAAAAGGGTGATCTTCCAATAGGCCGAGTGCATACACTATATACATATATTATATAAATTTTGGCAATTGTGAACATTAACATATTTGTTTCATTTTAGTTTTAAAGCTTGAGATATTGCTATTTTATTTCAGTGGAGAGGTTATTCCAAGCCTCAGCTCCCCTATAGGCGAAAGCCTTTTTCATGCTGTTTGTTTTAGGCTTAGGTAATGCGAAATTGTATTCGCTATTTCTTGTATTATGGGTATGTATAGCATTGGTATTAGTAAAGATTTCAGTCAGGTAATTTGGAGTCATTTTGTTTTTAACTTTAAACATGAGAAGCGCTAATTGGTGATCTCGTCTGGCTTGAAGGTTAGAGATCCCTACTTTTTTCAGAATATCAGCAGATCTAATCTCATAGCTTTCGCGTGTTATAATTCGGAATGCTCGGTTTTGGAGCTTTTGTAATTTGTCTGATAAACCCTTTCCTAGGCAGCCCCAAACTTGCGAGCAATAATCAAAGTGTGGTTGAATAATTGATTGATATATTGTAATTAGTGTTCTAAAATCCACTATTTCTCGAAGCCGTCTTAGGATGCTGAGGCCTGCATTTACCTTTTTAGTAATTAGGTTCACTTGTGCATTCCATGACAAGTTTTCGTCAATATTTACACCAAGAGATTTAGTTACTTTAACTCTGTCTATTTTCCTACCATCAATATGTATGTGAGGAGGTGCATCAATTTGATTAATTCTTTTATTGCTACCTAATATCATGTATTCCGTTTTGGAATGGTTTAAAGTTAATTGGTTGGCTGACATCCAAGTTGATATTTTTTCTAAATCATGGTTAAGATTCTCTGCAATTTCATTAATATTTTCACTAGATCTATCGATTTGGGTATCGTCGGCAAACATGCTGGTGCTTGTTCTCTCTAGACATTGAGGCAGATCATTTATGTATATTAGAAATAAAAGTGGCCCTAGAGCAGAGCCTTGTGGAATGCCTGTTTTTACACGAAGTGGTCCAGATGTGTGGCCCCCTACTTTGCAGTATTGCGTTCGGTCTGTCAAATATGACTTGAGCCAACACAGCGCCGTTCCTGTAATGCCCAGCTGATTTCTTTTGAAGCGCTTGTAAAAATTATGTAAAGATTAATATTCAAGAAATAGAAAACATTTTCCGTGTTTCTATACAGTTATAGAAACACGCGTGGGAGTTTTGGAGAACGAGAAATAATAGGTGGGAAAACGGGCCCGCAGGGGGGGGGGTTCCGCGTTATTTCGAATTCCGGGTAGCAAGTCGAAAGCCCACTTACGCCCCAACCGAAAATATCTTCTAAAATGTTGGCCTTCGCGAAATATATTATACGGTTTATACACCATGTTTAAAACTTCCACTTTCTAATGGCTGAAAATTATCGGTCTTAAACTCCGACGTCATGCTGTGGGTTAAAGCTACATGATCTAAACACCCACCCACTAGTCAATATGCTCTCGTTTGGTACAAAGTTATATACGCTAATGAATATATACATATAACAACGATGAAAAATCCTAATCTATCAGAAAGTTAGTTTACTTACATAGTTTGTTTATATAGTAACTTATATTAAGTTCTTCAAACATAACGCAAAATTTTTGCGTTCACTAAATTTCACTTTTAAATATCTACAATTATCTACAAGAAAATTTTCAACAAAGCTTCTTGTGCAACAAAAGTACAAAGAGTCAAAATTATTATCCTTAATTCAGTAAAGTCCTAGTTCCAGATGTTGAAGCCCAATAAGTCATGTTGGTACGGTTCAAGCACGAAGGTAAATATAGAAACCTAATTTCTGCTGTATAACTTCGGACTCAAAAAGATTACTTCTAATTTTTCTATCAAATCCAGGTTCATAAACTTTCGTGACAACAACAGAATTCAACCTTTCAAACCCCAACATCGTAATTTTCCTAGTGTATGATAACTATACTCATCTTTCTTGGTACCTGAACTTAGACCAGTATCTCCAAATCTTAGTTCAGTGACAGGTAGTGTGTTTTTGTCGGTGAGGTATCCACTGTCTTCGCGTAATACTTGATCATTTTCGTCGCAATTGCAGTTTCCCCCACCTACACAGCTGTAGGTCATTCCACAGGCACATTTTCCACTGTCAACTGCCGCTCCACCCCAGTAATTCATCTTTGAACCTTGACGTGATACCCACCAACTCTTTCGTTCACCCTTATATACAAATGTGCTTCCAAGACATTCATATTTTATAAACTGCTCACAATTCTTAGACTGGTTCATAATGGCAACAATCTGCTCCATGGAAATTTCATATTTTATGGTTTTCTTGTAAGAACCTGCAGCTTCATATCCGTCCACAAAGGTTCTCGATTCACTGTCATGTCCAATCACTGTCACACCAACGCCACCCTTTGAAGTCATGTTACAAAATACTCGAACCGAGAAGTTGAGTCCTTGTGGCATTATGGAATAGAAACCACTATCTGCTGAAGTATTCTTTATGCGTATAGCCGTGCAAGACGTTTCGATTGGCATTGGGTGTGATATGTTTGTACGATTCAAAACACCTAAAAATAACCCTATTTCTCATTATTCTGAGTAATCCTGTACCGATCGGAGTACGCTTTCTAACTGGCTGGTATAATCAGTAACCAGGCATTGTTATACATGTATTACAGTATACTAGTTAATTGACTATTTAGCTGTTTAGCAACAACCAATCAAACATGACTTTTCGATTGGTACGTGTAGCTCATTATTCTATAAATAGAAAGTTAACATTGTATGCGAAACGAATTCGTGCTCTTGTAAGATATCGTTCCAATTAATTATGTCAATGGGTGTAGGTCTTTTTCAAAAAAATAAAATATTTTACCGGTGAAGAGATCTTGTGTCCGTGGAGTGCTTGTTAGATCGGGTTCCGGTTGTATCTATAAGTACAGAAAATTATATCGTAGCTATATATAGTTAAACTCATCTCTTCTATCCGTTTCTTACGTACAGCAATACAGTTTCATCACTATCAGTAATATATAAGAAAATTAATGGAAGGAAATTCTAATATTAGCAGTTTGGTTGTAAAATATTTCAATTTTGTGTAAAAATATAGCCGTGCAAAGAAAATTTTGGGTAAATTTGTATTCGGCGCGCGCAAAGAGTCATTGCCACTTTTCGAATTTCAAAAGAAGCATTTTTGGACTGTTAAAACCTAACAATTAAAATCTTGTTGCTAAGAAACGCCAGCGATTTTAGGTAATTTCAACATTGATTATTTAAATAAAACGTATTTTCTTATTACATTATCAAATAATTAAAATACCCGCATTGTAATAACTTTGAAATAAGGTCGTAATATAACCCTAAAATTCTTGTTTTGTTGTCTTATAGCTCATATATTCAGTTTACAAGATGTCATTTTTCGGAATATGTTTTTCTTGTATGATGAGTTTGGTTAAAAAACAAATTTAAAATAGCTAATAGTGCCCTTTACCACCTTCTCTGCAGCTAACATATTCCGAAGTTGCCAATCCTTTCTAAAAGAGACTTTAAACGGGGGCCTTCGCTAAGGGTCCTGTTTGAAAGTGATACGATACAGGAAATTTTTAAGTAAATGCATGTGTGTATTGTGAGGAAATGTTTTGTAAAAGCTGAATTTTCTCTAAACAGGCAGAATTTGCGCGGAGGATGAATTTTCTTTGCTTTTATTAAATTATTTCTGAATGCGGATCTATTTTATATTTAAGTCACAAGAACTCCCAGACGTTTGCGTATTGGTTTGGGTGCGGATGTTTTTGTATCGCTAACAACCCCACTGTCCAATATTAATATATCTCCTTATATCTCACATACACGTTTATATCTGGCCTCTTACCTTTTTGATTACATAAAGGTGCTTGAAATCAGGATCGCGTATACGTCCTTCATCGTCAGATGCGTCTTCAATGGTCTTGCTGTTCAGCTCACATCGACCTTTACCGATCCCGGAGGTTTTGTAATTAACGGACACACATGATCCATGTCGAATGCAGTACATACTGCATTCTAACTCGGTTTCTGCGTGTTTTTTTTCGAGGACATGATTTGCTAAATATTCACCATCTTTTTTGCGAAAGAAAGCTTGAGCGACTAAACATTCGCCAGGCTGGAGTATTCTTGAGATGAATATAAACGCACTTACGCTTAACACTACAGCCATATATGGAGACATGTTGATCATTGAGTTTCATCATCAAGTCATCATCTTTTTAACTGTCGTCCAACAATTTTGTGATGCATTATTTACGATTTAAAATGCAATTTTATGCAAAATTTGAAACCATTAATAAAGTATGACGACTTTTTTACATATTATGCACCACCTGTTCGTGTGTCGGATACAAAGTACCTGTTAGTGGGAATGAAAAAAATTGCCCATCTTGTATTTAGAAAAATAAAGCCATTTTGATTGAGTCTTTCAAAGTAATAAGGATGAAAATGTAAGTTTTCTAAAGTTTAAATTAAAAACATCCACGTGAAAAATAAAGACAAATACATGACGCTTGCAGTAATTGCGTTAGGATGTATATTTGACGTCTGTCCTAAATGCAAGGTTATTATATATTATTAAGAAAATTGCTTTTCAAGACCGTTAATAATTTCTTTTTCATGCATGGTTTAAAATATCACGATTTGGGTACGCATTTCACCTGTTTCTATATTCAGAAGCGATCTAACTATATTTTGAATCTGGAGAAATTGTTTGAACTCTCCCTGTCTCAGTAGCAGGTCGTATGCAGGTAAAAATGTAATACCCTTAACTCAAAATCAAAATCACAATGAGTTCGTTGTTTGAACCTGTAAACAGGGCCGCCGAGAGAAATTGTGGGGCCCGGGGCACAAATTTTTCAGGAGCTCTATGACGGCATGGTTTTAAATATCTGCGAGGCATAAAGTACTTCAAAGCGATGTGAAAGGGTTTACAAACAAACTTTTCAGTACAAACAAAATCAACGTATCTTAGACTGTCACACGTACTTTCGACTTGTGCGCGAATACTACACCGAGCCTAACATTTTTTTAAGGTCTTTATATTTAGGTTCTTTCTTAAGTCATGGGGTCCGGGGAAAATGCATAGGCGGCTCTGCCTGTAAATATTCTCATTCATCTACAGCAAAAAGTGTCGATATGAATTAATGGTTTGCGTGCAGGTGCTGCGGTACATAATGGACCAGCTGTCAGTGTATAATATAAACAAATGTATTTATTCTTGTGTATGAAAACATTTCATGCTTGTACTTTGAAAATGGAGATTTAGGTTTCTCATGTTGGAGTCATTAGTAACAATATACTTGTAGATCAACGAAACTAAACGATATCTTTATACTCTGATTGGTCGCTTCTATTTGGTATGTAGGCTGATGTGATAGCCTTCCGTTTCCCCATGAATTCTCCATTTTATCTATCTTAGGCGCACTGCGGTAAGAAATGATTATACGCGTGCTATTATGCCCGCAAAAAATCGCAGTAAACTTAAATCGCCCATATCGATTGAGATCTCAGTCGCATGTCGAAAACGAGAACTGCTGAATATAGACTAAATAGAGTGGCATGTTGAAATCGAGAACTGCTGAATAGATACTAAATAGGGTCGCATGTCGACAACGAGAACTGCTGAATGTAGACTAAAAAGGGTGGCATGTTGAAAACGAGAACTGCTGAATATAGACTAAATAGAGTCGCATGTTGAAAACGAGAACTGCTGAATATATATATAGACTAAATACAGTGGCATGTTGAGAACGAGAACTGCTGAATATAGACTAAATAGAGTGGCATGTTGAAAACGAGAACTGCTGAATATATATATAGACTAAATACAGTGGCATGTTGAGAACGAGAACTGCTGAATATAGACTAAATAGAGTGGCATGTTGAAAACGAGAACTGCTGAATGTAGACTAAATAGAGTGGCATGTCGATAACGAGAACTGCTGAATATAGACTAAATAGAGTCGCATGTTGAAAACGAGAACTGCTGAATATAGACTAAATAGAGTCGCATGTCGAAAACGAGAACTGCTGAATATAGACTAAATAGAGTCGCATGTCGATAACGAGAACTGCTGAATATAGACTAAATAGAGTCGCATGTCGATAACGAGAACTGCTGAATATAGACTAAATAGAGTCGCATGTCGATAACGAGAACAGCTTGTTTATGATCTGTGGCCGGTTGTATCAAGCCCGTTTAGCTTAAACGGTGGATCAGTTCAAAATAGAAAGCAAGTCTGCCGTTTTATTCAACAAGCTAACAAAATGTTTTTGACCTTAATACAAAGCTACTGTTTACAACTACATATATTCAGTGCATAATATTCAAGTTGACTTATTCAAGAGAGTTAATTTGTAAGAGTGGTACTTAACTTCGACTTATCCACCGTTTAAGCTAAACGGGCTTGATACAACCGGCCCCAGGGACTGAATATTACGCGTTTGCAACAGGGTGATTTATCCCATTGCGATCGTATGCGTAAAGGGCAACCGTGCAAAACGTAAAACAGCCGGAAAAAACGAAGAAAACGCTCGACAATTGAGGCTTCCCAATCAACATTCTTTAAATTGTAAAATGCCTCCTACATATAACTGGACACTTTGCTAAAAGACATACCCTTTGCTGAAATGCACCTTGCCGAAAGACACTTCGCCGAAAAGGCAAATTACCGACGGGTAATTTAGCGAAATGATGATTTGCGAACTTTTCGCAAAAAGCCATTTTGCAGTATTCTGCTCAAGTTGTTGACAACTTCCATCAACCTGAACGTTTCTGTGCGTGTAAAGGTCAGTCATATGGATCAGTGTTTGTTTGTGTGCGCATACTTTATGTAAGATACATGCACGTGCATCTCTCTATAGTGAATATTTCTTTAGAAATATATAGCTCACGTTTCTGCTTTCAATTTAATTCCCATATTTGCCTCTCACTACCGTCACAGCGATCCATAACAACTTTTTCGCGGTCGCCCTTCGAAATGGACAAGCACAGACCAGCTGGCTTGTAATATAGAGTCTTTTTCTGCAAGAAAGTTAATGCGACAGAAATTCAATAATGCATGGTCACACAACGAAAATAAATGTTGCGCAAAGCATTGTAATTTTTATAATTTTATGCTAGCATGCAAAGAAACCATTCCTGACATTTAGGGCCAAGTCACACGTGCAACTTGCAATACTTTCTTTGCTTTTGGCGTCATTTTCTTCCAGGGAGGAAGAAGCGTTTAAGTGTGAAATTCCTTCACTCTCAGAAAACAATGTAACATTTCCCAAATTCTTGAAAAAAATATTAAGCACCCTACGTATTAAGAACAGAAACATTTCAGCATTGTGCAAATATTGTCGATACTTTCCGTTATCCCTCGTTACTATGTAACAAAGCGACGTTTACGTGTATTTTTTCTGGAAAAAATAGCAAGGTTTGTTTCCCCTTTAAATCTGAACATTTGTGACTTTCGCGAAAACAATTCCTACTGAAAAACCTTTGTGTATAATTTTACCTCGGTATGAAATAACTCCTGGTTTCCACGACGATCATGACATCTTTCTATTGCAACTGCCCCACCAGGGTGAGGCTTTGATATATCGATGCAATCTTCATCATGAATCAACTCTCGTTTGTGAGAATAGATGAATCCCTTTAAAGAAAAAAATGACACAGATATTAAAACAGGATCTATATCTATATACAGGGTGTATCAAAAAAAAGGTAATCCAACTTTGGTGCGCTATTGTACGTGAATTACTCATTCTATTAACGAATTTTTTTCACATTCCGAAAGGTTATGCTTTTAACTATCGAATGACATGTTTTTGATACCAAATGGTGAAAAAATGAGCAAATAGGAGGCTGATAAAAATTGTTAGTCGAAATCGCATATTTTCACCTCTGAGAGTTGGGACTAAAACCATTGAAAATTAACTCTCTTTGGGACTTTTGCTTTTGAATAAACTACCCGCATATGCATATTAAGTAGGAATAAGGAGAACATTCCAAGCAATGCGGCATAAAACCAGTGCATGCTGTGACATGTTCATGATTAATTGTTTTTTTCTTTTGTTATGCACTGCTTTAATTAGGCTCAAAGGTGAAAATATGCGATTGCGACTAACATTTTTTATCAGCCTCGTATGTGCTCATTTTTTCACCATTTGGTATTAAAAACATGTCATCCGATAGTTAAAAGCCTGATCTTTCCGAATGTGAAAACAATTCGCTCATAGACTGAGTAGTTCACGTACAATAGCTTGTTGAAGTTGGATTACCTTTTTTTTGATACACCCTGTAGTGTAGGAGAGACAGCGCACATGCATAATATACAGTATTGTATTTTCGTGCTTAAGGCAAATCTACTCATTGCATAACAACACCGATGACAATAGAATGACTGAATTTGTTTTCTGTTTTTTTGGTTGGCTATTTAGCCGTATTTTAGTTGGTTATTTAAAATTGGCTTTTTGAATAAGTGAGAGAGATGTTTATTCTATTTACACACTCTGAAGTGCAAGAAATAAAATTACTTCTTCCTACCCTTATCCCCTCCCCCCAATTTAACACCCATTTTAGTTCATTCAACAACATGTATCTATTAACACTTTACCTGATTTCCAAGAAGACCATGGCAGTACGAGACGCCGATTAACTCCCCAACCCCCCTGTTCATCGTGTCAAGACACATATTAGTGGACGGGTTGCGCACCTGAAGAAAACATTGCGGCAAAATTAGAATCTTTAAAACAAAACATTTACAAGTGTATTTTAAATTCTTATTTGACTATATTGACTTTCCTGGAATCTATAAAAGCAGTAAGCTGTCAGTAAGTTATGTGTTCCCAAAATGACGTCACACCTTCTCGCCCCAATCTCCTTTAGGGTAGACCGAAATTCTTTTGCAATTTTTTACAACTAAAACTGTAGTTATTTTAATCTTTTTAAAAACAAATTCCCGGCACCAGGTTGAACTTTGTAAAATTGACAAAGTTGACTATAGAAATGGCTGCATGTGAACTTTGATAAACTTGACTATAAAGCGACTGCTCATTTTGAAATTTACACGAAATGTACATATACACTTGCTCTTCTTCAAATCATGCGGCAACTATCAATCTGGGTGTCAAGGCAGTTTTCTATTACGTCCTCTTCGCCCGCGCGGGCAAAACGCGCTTTATTTTTTAAGCCTGTCACGGCTGCACGAGCAGGCAAAGCGAACATAATGAGAAACAACCTGTAAGTCTGGATTTCTTACCGCGGAATAGCTTTTTGAAAGAGCGTAATCTAAGGACACCGTATCGTTTGCAACATTTTCTAAGTACCATTTAAATGATTTACAATTCAGCCTTTTTCTAAGGGCGACTCTTTCGCTAATATCGCCGTATTCATCAACAAGCTTTAAACTGGGGGCGGATATAGAGCCACAACTTGTATTCGTCCATCCACACTTCCGCAACTCGGCGAAAATTGATCGAGACAGCGTTAGCCTTCGGGTAAGTGTAGGGAACATTTCTCCTGTACACATGGCCAACACGGGAGCATGGGATATTCGCCATTCTTCCACCGCACATCCAAATCTGAAGAGAGAAACAATCATTCAATACTGTTGCCAGAGACGTGCCGGGCGGGAAGCGTATTCGAAGTATAAATATTAAAGCCCAACATAGTGCTTTCAGTAAAGCCATAAGAGACAATTAAACCATTTGAGAATAATAAGAATATATTTGGTAGTAACGTTTCGTCTTAACTTAAGACATCTTCAGACTAAATGACAAATTACATGATAATTTGAATATGTAGACTAGTAATATATTTACAAGGTATCAATTTACAAAAGGTGATAACAAGGACAACGTATCAAGAGAAAATCAAGAGAAACAATCGTGGAAATATCAGCGAGGCCCAGCTTTGACTTCAAATATCGCTATCTATCGCATTTGATATTGGCCAAAAATCCCTGACAGATTCATTTACACCACTGCACTTTCATTTTCAATTTTCACTGCGAGTTATGGTGCCTTAGTACCGAGTTATGGTGCCTCCAACTAGCTATGAACATGAACGTTGCGATGGATAAGGCTGTCATTGGCCCGATTTATACTAGAGGTGCGCGGATCATCATTGGGCAAGCAAAAGATAGTTCGTCTTCTAGTACGTCTGTGTGTAAACACGGGCAAACAGACGGCTCATCCTTCAACACGAATTATCCCCATACCTCGTCTATTCAGACGAATTTGAATGGGTAGCACGTCTTGAATCATCATCCGCCTGGTATCAATACGGTTTGGGACAAACCACAGTTAATAAACGAAGACGAACTACGAAAAATTCATCCTAAAGCGGCTCTTGTGCACTCTCTTTACCAAATAAGAAAATCCCTGTCATGCAAGTTCCTCCCAATATTCTCATGCAATTTCTATAAACGCGCGACTCTGTTTCGTCTAACATTCGTCTACCGTTCCCTTTCTTAATAAATTTGCAATGCTACACCCCTTCTGATGTTCTTTACATCTCTAATAATTGTAATCAACTGGCTGTTTGAATCGTAACTTACCTTAAAAGATAACTCATACTGCTCGCCTCCCCACACCTCCATGCCTGGGTCATACTGGCCAATTTTGTCAAAAAACGACTTACTGATCGCAAACAGTCCTCCAGCCATCACCGGAGACCTGCAAAATTACAGTTAAAGTGATATCAAGGAGTTTAAGTTGTGTTCACAACGTCAACGGTACGGCTAAATTTCCTTTTCTCATTCTACTACGATTTCAAGTTAAGCGTGGAATTGAACGTAACGAAAAAGATGGCGGCATGTACATTTTACCAGAATGCATTGCGGGCATTAAGAATGATTGACTGAAAAAAGATGGCAAGAAAAACTCCTGACGTGAAATTTTAACACAGGGAAGAAAATAACTTTCTGTTTTATGCCTGTCCTTTAAAAGACGTTAGTTCGCTTTTTAAACGATTTCCGACCGCAATGCATTCTGGTAAAATGTACATCCGCCATCTTTTTTGTTATCGTCAATTGCAAAAGTCGGTTCGATAGGTTTTGTAGTGTAAAAGGAATGTTTGTGACTTCATCTAATAATTTTGCTACGTGACGCTCACGAAGTTGTCAAAGAAAACCTGTCAATTTTGTGACTATAATTAAAAGATATGAATAGCGATGAATAGCCATTATATTTTTCTGGGGCGGGTTGTTCAAAAGCGGGT